GGTGAATCTTTATTGCCTCTCTCTCTCCCACACGCACTCTTTCCTTCCCCCAGGGAGGATAGCAAGTAGGACTGCCCTGGCCGATGATTTGACCTCCGCATTCTGTGATAGTATTTCTGGGATCAAGAATAATGTCTTGTTCACCCTCGGAGTAGTTGGGGCGCATTGAGGAACCTTATACTCATTTGCTGACACAATAAGGATTTTAGGTTTCGCCAAACACTATCGTGTAACATTATAAGGCTATGCAGGTGGAGGATATATATATCAACATGTATTGGAGAATTAAAGCGGTAATGAGAACAACAAGGTTGGAATGGCTTGTGNTCAGAAGTTAGGTAATTCAATACAAATAAGTTTCATAAAGGATTTCGTCGTGCACAAAGCAATTAAATGTGGAACGAAAAGCTAGGAATCACTCGACAGCTGTTTCGACCTGGTTGGGTCTCATCAGCAGTGCGAATACACCGACCCCAATGGGATCGAGCCCGGGAACTCACAGGCAGAACGCAAACATGCTACTCACCCGGCCAGCGGGCAGCTGTTTCTTATTTTGTATTTACACGAGATAGCACAACCCATCTTGACGAGCCTGTTGTGGACCTCACTCACGGCGACTCTATGGTAACGTTTTCTAAGTCAGATGTGCTTAATCTAGAAAAAATCGACATCAATGTCCATTCTTAAAAATTTCATATTTATAAGTTGATGGATGACTGGAATAAGTTCCCGGTATTACCGGGTTTTCAACGAGAAAAACGGTTGTTTAGATTTCCATCGACGATAGACATAAGATATCATAGAAGGCTAGAAGTAGATTGAACGCGCTCATATTCTCAAGCTTTCATCAAAAGCTGCTCTGTGAGAAAACTGTCTGGCGAGGCATTATTTGTTTTTGGGGAAAAATGGCAATTTCTGAATACCCGACAAATTTCATTCCTGGTTTAGTATCTCTCTGCATCTTTTAGTGCCAGCAATAATGAATGGTTTATGAATGTTGTTTTGCATCGCTTCCAATCAAGATACTTCATGACTTTAACGAAATACAAAACATGATAAAAAGTCGGACGCCAAACGGGCACGCTGGATTTAGTCCCATAATTTCCAATCTCCCATCCGGTTGGAACTCCGTTACCAGAAGCTCCAGATGATGCTCCCTGGTCGTTATAAATGCTAATCACTACTGTCGACGTGTTTCTGGTGTTCCATCACCACCTCTATGCTTACCATGCTCTTCCATCCTCGATCGATCAAGGATGCTGTCGATGGAATGCCTTTACAAAAGACATTCGCAGCCATGGGTAGACTAATTTTCGCTCTGATTGTGGTCATCGTATTACTCACTGATCAATGCGCAGCTTTACCCGGGGTCTTCTTCAATCGGTACGGGGATCTGTTGCTTCAAACTATTCTTTTCACGATAGCAGATCCCGATGTCACCTGAAAAATTGCTCAGGTCAAAAAAATGTGAACATGTTTTTCAATCTAAATTGTACACAGTCGCGTGAAATGCACGTATCAGTTACTCCTCCTAGCATACTTTGTGTTTCAGTAACTTGGTATTTGTGATAAGTGATCGGAGATAAACGTGAAACCTCCCCCTTCTTGATTCTTTATCGTTATCTCTGGGGCCGGTTGGATTTCTGAATTTAATGGTAGCCAAATGCTGGATGAATGTAGAGTGAAAGATATCTGCTTGTTCTTCTTCTGAGGGGTAAGTGATATCTGTATGAAGGTGTAGAATGATCACTCATACGATAACGAGCTTGATAACGTATCGATTTTCCGAAGGACAGGCGGGTAAATAATGCCCTCACTCCGAGAATACTCCATTACAAACGCTCAGTCGACATTCGACATCGAGACTCAGTATCAGTTATTGTATTCTAACAATTAACTTCAGACTCAAGATTCAAACGTACGCTACTCGGTCGTAGTGACTATGTGATCACAACATAACCATCTTGACCGTAGTATTCAGTGTTTGAGAAGACCGTTCAGTTCTCTTTTATCTTGGGGATAGTAAATTGACTGGTCAACTCATCATATCTATTCAGAAGAGTGATTGACTTCTTACATTTATTCCTTGCCGAGACATTCCCTCAATATTCATGCATTCTGAAACCGTGAATATATAGGTAACCGGCGACATGCCACCGAACTCATTATCTGTACGGATCCCTATCTAGGTGGGAGAAAAGGTTGCCAAGTTAAGGACCCCCCGTGTACGTCGTTGGATTAGTGGTTCTCACTTCGTATCTGCAGGATTTTTATTTCGGGAGGTGACGGTAGATATTAGATTCGTTTCATTTGATCAGGCACCTTTTGATCTTTGTAATCTACCATTAATCTACCATTAATCTTGGCCCTTTCACTCCGTTTGGTGCAATTTGTGATGTGATAGGGGTAACATGGAGTAGACAAGAATGTAACCTACCGTCAAGTTATATTGATGTAATGGTCAATGATTTTTGTATATCACTCGCTGAGTGTGAAACGTCCTGTGGTGTTGTGACTGATTAATCAAAGTGATCAAGAGGCTTTTTTATTACAATCTTTTACGGTTCTTCTAACTAGCCCGTAAAACTTTGAATCCGAAAATGACGCTTCGTATTGCTCAGGACTGATCACTAATTGAAGCAATTAATAATAAATATTGTAAACTGGTTTATAAAAAGTGACTAAAGTGATTAATACCAATGTTTTTCTTCACCTAACCCTTTTTGTCTCAACCCCTGACAGTTTGAAGGCTGTTCCAAACGATATTCCCGCTTGGAGAATTTGAAAACCCATCTGCGGTCACACACGGGTGAGAAACCGTATCAGTGCGAGATTCCGGGTTGTCACAAGGCGTTTAGCAACGCATCCGATCGTGCCAAACATCAGAATCGTACGCATAGCAATGAGAAACCATACACGTGCAAAGTAGATGGCTGTTCCAAACGTTACACTGATCCGAGCTCGTTACGGAAGCACGTGAAAACAGTTCATGGGGCTGAGGTAAGTCACACGGGACGATCTGATCTTTTGGATTGTTTCTTCCTATCCAGAAACTGTTCTGAAAGATAGCAAATATCCATATGGAGCATTTTTCTCTCTAGTTTCTACCTGTTTATATTGGTGGTTAAACGGTATGAGCCCTCTGATTGGCCCTCATTCTCTTGAGAGTGAAGGTCATTTGGAGATGACCAATGTGATTGATCAATTTCGGCACTGTAATTTGTGAATCCGTTGTGGTGATTCCCCTGCAGTTTGGAGAACGACAACATATCTATTGTGAAGAATCGGACTTTAAGGATTTCACGAGCAGGCTCCATGGCATGACCTCAATCGAATTGAGGATCCCCAGATGTCCCTATGTATACAGTTGATGGAATATCGCTTTACTCTCTCCTGCGTATTCGGTAGGTCTTCAGCAATGTTACCATGGAGAGCATTTTTCCATCAATCAATTCAGTATGGAAAATCGCCTGAAGCGGAAAATTCACGATACACCAAAGTTCCTCTGATAGCAGCACATCGTTGCTCAAGCATCACCACCTATAGTTTTATGAGGAATCTACCGAGATAAGCTATGACAGACAGGCAGTAAGCGATAGTGTATTTGTATCACAATTTGTAATAATAACTTGTAGGGAACTCGGATTTACCCTCGATAAGGGGGACGTGCAAAGGATGTGTACTGGGAAATGGTTGTCTACGATGGATTCGGTTAGTCTGATAGGTAGAAAGTCCTGAAGCACCTCCATCTGCCTCAAATGGACGGAAGGTAGTATAGTCGAAGAGTGAGTGGATAGAACAGTAGATTAGAAAGGGACCTGTAAAGATTGAAGTTCAGATATGCAAAAATAAAACTACAGTCCATGCATCAGATTGTTCTTCTTCACGAGGACGGTAGAGACCATGAGGTAGAGGTAGTTGAAATAACCGGCTGAGAGAATCAGCAAATCAGCTAATGTTAATCATTGCACAGTTAAGTTCCATCAAGATATCCGTACCAAAGAAAGCCAAATGTCCCAGGATTTAGCTGGGTTGAGTGATAAGCCTGCGGCAGAATATCATTGAACATCAAATGATATTGGTTGATTAAAGAGGCGAAAACTGCTTATCTGAGTCAGACTTGAAAACTATAACAAAATTGTTCAGGTAGATTGCGAACGTGAAAATAGAACAGTAAAGATGAAAGATTTGTACTTCTCTGTACTTGTCAGACGAAGGCATAGAAGTGACTTGCTATCCATAGGCGAAACAATCAGTCAGCACTGTAAACATCACACAGAGATGAAATCGCAAGTGCATGTGGTCGACACAATCTGATTTGTCAAGAAAACACTGATATGTCTTCCCAGAGCGGGTTTAAAGTGAAGACTATAGAGCTAACGATATAAGAGAGAAAGGAAAGGCGCTTTAATTGTACAAACCGTTTCTTTCTTTAAACAACTTGACTCTGGTCGTGCACTTCAATGCGTACAACACTAATGGGGGGGGGGACCAAGTCCCAGGCATGATTGAATTCGAGTGATGTGCTCGGATTGGCAGCTATCGGAGATTTTTTCTTCTTCAATGCACTGATTAAACGGGTCTATGTGAGCAGCCCGGTTTAACTGGGTAGCGCACAGATTTTGGAACAAACGGGAGAAATGATCCTTCGGATCCGATTGAGTAAACTTGGCACTATTTATTCTTGTGAATGTGTGCTGTTGAGTGTGGAGTAAATTCTCAAGGTTGCGTCAGAATTTGGACCCGCACGGTAACTCAGGAATGGATATCCATTAGACTTTTAAAGTAGTAAACACTTAATTAAAATCAACAGATGGGATGCTTGTGCGGCGTGATTTAAAATTCAGATCACAGAGCTTCTTCCTGGTTCCGCGCATTAGATGACAGTTTCTGTTTCCATTTAAGATGTCTGTGCTTATCTTGTTCCAATGCGGGATTTCAGTTTTGACTGTACTGACGCAAGCGGTTGTTCAAGAATCCCAGTTCTCACCAGCCTTACCGTTTACGGGAACCGCTCTACTTAAAAGGCAAGCTTATATATATATA